TCTCATCTTTACCTAATCCTCACAAATGCTAGATCTGTTCTAAATAAACTACCGATGCTCAGAGCACTCACAGTAATATACAATTCCCCTATAATTGTCATCACTGAATCCTGGTGTAACTCGAACATACTGGATGAAGAGATAAGCTTAGATAATTACACACACTTTCGGTGTGACAGGGAAGGTGGTAAGGGAGGGGGTTGTCTCATGTACTTTCTGAATGCACTTACTGTATCACAGCTAGAAAGTAGTACACTTAACATGCCTGAAACTTTATGGGTTAACTTACACTTAAATAACGCAATAGTATTAATTGGATGCACCTACAGAGCACCTGGCACCTTTAGTAATTACGAGACCCAACTTATTAATACTCTGGAACAATTATTCACCCTACACTACGATCATAAGATCCTATGTGGAGACTTTAACTTACCAGAAATCAACTGGGATATACCCACAGGCCCAACTAGATTTGATAAGTTCTTAGGCACACTGGATATACTTGGCTGGAGACAGACTGTCACAACCCCTACAAGAGGTAATAACGTACTAGACTTAATCTTCTGCCACAATATAAGTCCCCTATCAACTCTGGTAGCTTCTGAGTTTCCAGGGAGTGACCACAAAACAGTGCTGTGTGCACTGCCACTTCCGTCAAGTAGCAATGCAGCCCATACCCCTACTTCACAACAAATAACTTACAGGAACTACAGTAAGGCAGACTGGACTCTAGTAAAATCAATGCTAAGATCCTCAGAATGGAGTGAGTACTTCTATACTGATAACCTTTCGAAAGCTCTAGACATCTTTTACTATAACTTTAGATGCTGTGATCCCACTGCAAACAATAAAAGTCAGAAAATTTAAGAAGCAATTTATTCATCCAAAAGATCGCTCAAAACTGAAGAGACTGTCAACAAGTTACTTCAGACGACATGACTTTAGTACACTAGGGTCAATACTTCGTACTCTTAGCTCCATCTCGCAAGCTCATAACTTGCGTATGAGAAATGAAGAATGCACGGCACTAGCCAGCACCAACAGAGTAGGTGCTCTCACAGAAATACTAAAGAAACGAATGAATCGCCAAAGCAATAAAATTTCTCTCCTTATAAACAAGGGTAAACTATACAGCAAACATGCAGACATGTGTGAACTGTTTAATGAGACGTTTGCAGCTAACTACCTTAAGCCTACAAGTCCACTTCTCGGTTTACAATCTACAATAGAACTCCCTTCTTCTTCAACGCTGAAACAAATCAGTACAGTTCATTTCACTTACTCTAATATTAACCAAGCCATTAATACTCTTAAAGGCTCTAGTAGTGCTGGTTTTGACGGTATACCATCGTATCTTTATAAACACGGTGGTTCTGACATTTCCGTTTTATTACTTAAGATTTTTACAATGTCCCTAGAAAGCCAAACCTATCCAGATAAATAGAAAACCACATTTATAATACCCAAACACAAATCCGGATCAAAAACTGAAGTCAACAACTATAGACCAATCAATATTACACCCATAGTATCTAGAATCATTGAAAGAATAGTTAAAGATGATATCCTCAAACATATGCTCAGCTGCAATATTCTAAGTCCAAACCAACATGGATTCCTAAAATCCAGATCATGCATGACATGTCACCTTGACTTCTTTAACTACATAACTAGCAGCCGTGACAAACAACAACTAGTACTTGTCATCTACTTCGACGTATCCAAAGCCTTTGGCCGCGTTGACCATTTGCTTCTAATAAATAAGCTAAACTCTTTAGGAATAAGTAACCCATTATTAGGATGGATTGAATCATTCCTTAACAATAGGTCCCAAGTAGTTAGACTGGGGTCTGTAAACTCTAAACCTAGTCCAGTCACTTCTGGAGTAGTTCAAGGTAGCGTCTTAGGCCCCCTCCTATTCACTCTATATGTCAACGACATATGCAGCTGTTTCTCACTTGGCAAACCATTCATCTTTGCAGATGATCTTAAAGTAGCTTACACATTCCACTGTGATGACTTAGGGTACTTTCAGAAAGCTGTTCAGGAAGAACTAGATCGAGTAACTGCATGGTCCTCCACATGGAACCTAAAATTCAACCTTAAAAAATGTGGTTGGATATGCTTCGGTGCACCCTCAATAAATATCAAACTGGTACTTGAATCTATTGACTTGCCTAAACTCCAAAGTGTTGTTGACCTAGGACTCAGGTACTCTAGTGACTTGACATTTTCTGAGCAAGTGGCGACACAGACGCGTAAATCGAGGATGCACTTAGGATGCATACTCAGGAATTTCCACAGCTTCGAAGCAAAACTATTATTATATAAAACTTGTGTCAGACCACTACTTGAATATTGTCCATTTATTCTCAGCAGCACTCGCGTAAGTGACAGGCTTAAAATAGACTATTAGGATTTGACTGCGATAAGGACTACACATCAAGGTGTATAACTCTAGGTATCGACCAACTCTGGATGAGACGACTGAGCATTAACCTAACATTTTTCTTTAAAATCTTGCATAAAATATCATTCTCAGACAGTAAGCAGATACAGTTCTCACCGGAAGGCTCTTACAATCTTCGTAACCAAACGTGCACAGTATCTAGGAAAAACTGCAAGACAACACTCCGTGCAAACTTCTTCATAGTCATGTACTCTAAGATCTGGAACAGTTTACCCCTAGAAATAAGGACCTGTCACTCTATCATAACCTTCAAACGCTTGCTATATGAACTGCTTCATCCTAATGACTATGCCGATCACACCGCACCACTTAGTTCTAAAACGCATGAGCTATTAGAACACTATAACGCCTAGACTCATTACTAAATATTATGACACTAAATAAACTCTAAGACTTCGCAAAAATACATGAAAGAACAACTAGATTATAGGTAGTGTTTACTATACAATGATATACATTTATAAACATTTATATATACATAAAATAATAACGTCCTGTTCATGTTTACATACTTTCTCTTTCTGTTAATATATCCTGAGCCTGCACTTCTATATATCTCCTGGTCGAGGTCGAACAACCCATCATCTAAACTGAAATGACCATTTAAGTAAATTCAAACTCAAATTCCATGAACGATCCGTTGCAACCACTTGAAAACGCTGGCCAACATTCTGTACGAGGAGTATTCTTGATCTGATATAAAGAAACAACTGGTTTTCAAACAGTTTTCAATGTATTACCCAACTTACATGTACAGTCTGCCATGCTGACGCAAATGGCGCAAATGGATAGTTCTAGAATTGACCCCATTTGATGCAGTAAAACAATCTAACATAACCTTATCTAATTTTCGTATCAAAGATCAAATTTCTTTCCTATTATAAAACTACGATAAGACTGCTGACAAAAATGGAATAAATACATTATTGACTCAAAATAATACATCAATAAACTTTATCTCATGGATGCTGTTCACAACAAAGTTTTATAGGAGAATTGACTTCAAGCTTTATTTTTCCCAGATATTTGTATCACATTCATCTGAAGTCTGGGTTTTTTGTTAATGCGAAGACAATATTTCTATATCTCTTTATGTGTTACACAGACAGACTATTTTGCAGACTGTTCTGACTGACTCTAATGTTAGATTGAACAAACAAACTGTAATTTATATAATAACTTATCCATGCCTGTACACTTGGTATGTTCCTGCATAAACAGGAATAAATATATATATATGCAGTTTAATATTGCCGAAAAGTATAGAAAATAAGAGAAACAACCACAAAACTAATAATTACATGATGGTTAATGACACGACAATTTTGTAATACTCATAGTTCTAATATAGTCGGAACCAGTGGATACACAATAGAAGGAATATAGTAAAGTACAAAAAAGGAAGCCAATGTTAATATTTCAGGTAGCTAAGTAAGTTTGAAGAAGGAGTTCACTAAAGAATACGAAATAAGAGAGAAATAAAAGAGTATGAAATTATGTTGTTAATAACAAAGCAAGTCACAGGTTTCACGCTTAACATTATCTCTGTCGCTTAGAACACGGGCCAAGTATGGTATCGTTGAGTTCCTGTACTTGGTTGTACGAGCATAGATTCTTTTATACTGATTTCTGGTTTTACTTGATGAGATACAAGGAGAGAGTTGGGAATAGAGGGGGTGTTGGGGGTCTGAGAGTATGGTTTTAGACCATTTTTCACATGTATTCAGATGCCTATCAACTAAAGTAGTCACGAGCTGATTGAGATTAACACCACTAGTCCTACTAACTACTGTCAACATCCTTCTCAGGATGGAATAGTCCTTTTTCAGTAGACCAGGAAAGACTAACGGGGAGCAGTAAAGTAGAATAGGTAGGATACAAGAGTTGACAAATTGTGAAAGTAGAGGTTGGGTGATTCCGGATTGTCTAAGTTTCTTAATGTAGTAGGTAAGACAGAACACTTTCCTAGAAATCATTAGGATATGAGATGTCCAAGTAAGGTCGGAAGATAGAACTAGACCGAGGTATTTTGCATTAGACTTAGTTTCAATTTTAGTCCCCTCAATGCAACAGTCTTCATGAGAACTTACTAGTGTTTGTAGATCTCGTTTATGCCTAAGGGAGAAGTCGACAGTCTGGCATTTTGAGGGATTCAGCATGAGACCATTTAGTTTGGACCACTCACTGATGTCCGACAGGAAGCTATTTAATTTGAGACAGTCTGACTGAGACTTAATGGAAAACGATACAGACAGGTCATCTGCATATTTGACGAAGTTGACTTCATCTGAGAGAGGTAAATCATGTAAGAAGAAGGAAAAGAGAAACGGAGAGAGAACAGCACCCTGAGGAACTCCAGCTTCAGTAAGCAATGGAGAGGAAGATGCACCACTATATACCGTGTACTGCATCCTATTAGAGAAGTAAGAGTGCAGCCAGTTGATAACCCAGGGCTCAGTTTGTGCAAGGCTAAGCTTGTTTAACAATAGGCCTCTAGGTACAGAGTCGAAAGCAGATGTATAGTCAAGGAACGTACAACGGACAAACTTGGCCCCTTTGTCTAAGGAGGATACAATGTTGTGATGAAACACAGCAGCAGCGTCCAAAGTACTTTTACCCTGTTTGTAAGCAAACTGCTTTGGATCGTTTGAGAAGCTTAGGGAGGGAACAAGTTTTAGTAACAATAGTTTCTCCATTAGTTTCAAAAAAGGAGAGGTTATAGCGATAGGTCTGAACTTAGCATTATTACCAGAGCCTGACTTAGGTACAGGGATGATTTTAATATCTTTCCACAGAGAAGGTACAACATTATTAGAAAAAGAAGTATTAAAAATGTTTGTAAGTGGGTTGCTTAAAATATCAGCACATTTCCTTAGGACAATGGCAGGTATACCATCAGGACCTAGACTCTGGGAAGGTTTAAGAGATTTTAAACATTTAAGAACATCAGAAGTTTTAAAACTATTAAAGTCACTGGTCATGTTATTTGTTACATTGAAGCTAGAAGGTACATTGGGAAGGCGGATAAAAGATCTATTAAGAGTATTTACATCAATAGAGGGAGAACAAGAACTATGCTTACCACAACCTGTAATTTCTTTGAAAAGCTTCCACATGTTCCCAGGAGTTTTACATGACAAAATTCTTTGATTATAAATATTGTTTAACCTCTTGATTTCGGATTTAATTTGGATGTTTATTCTCCTAAGACCAGCTTTATCCTTAGCCTTGTACAGTCTCTCTTTTTCTCTTCGAAGCTTTTTGAGATGAGGAGAAGAGAAACGATCTATTCTTTTGAAAAGTATCTGTTTAGGACAGCATACATCAAGGCAGAATTTAAGATAGTCAGTCAGATTGGAAATAGTATCATCCAGAGTGTGTTCAGTGAAAAGTTCCCAGTTTGTGTCATTTAACATACATCTTAGTTTTAGCACGTTTTCTTGTGAGTAACATCTTTGTTGTGTTTTCCTGGAGAGATTCGAGAGGATATTAGAGTGATATCTGCTATATATTTTGGGTAATATCCGAATAATACAATGATCAGAGTTCATTATAGGAGCACGTCTGCGTGCTTCATATATTTCCGCATCATTAGTAAATACTAGATCCAGAGTTTTATCAAGTCGAGTTGGAAATTTGACAATGTTGACATGACCTAATGATTCAAGAAAAGAACAGTCACAGGTATTGAAATCTCCTGTGACAACTGATAAAGAGTTTTCAAGATGTGTAACCGCGAATGCTGTGAATTCATCGGCAAAATGAGATAGATCCGAGGCGGAACATCCAGGAGTAACATAAATGTTTGAGATGAAGACGTATTTAAACTTGGATAAGTGTTTCGGACGACATTTGACTGTAATACAATCAATAAAGTCACTAGAGAAAGAAAAACATACATTATTTGAAGTTGACCACTGAGAATGAATGAAGGTTGCGACTCCTCCACCTCTTTTCTTTCTAGAGCATATTCGATCTTGTCTAAACAATGTGAAGCCATTTAGAGAAACCAGGTTGTCGTCATAAAGATCATGGAGCCATGTTTCTTGTAATGCGACTATCGCCGTATTGTGATAAGTATCAGATGATAAGAGAGACTGGAGATGCATAATTTTGTTGGGAAGTGAACGGTAGTTTGAACTGACAATAACAGGAATAGTTGTGCGATATAATGGTGTCCGTTTGAGAGCGCGTTGCCAACCACCATGATGTATTCTCTTAGTTTTATTAGATGCATGAAAGTCATATGGTTTAAAACATTTAATGAATTCATTACTGTATTTGATACGATTTGTGACCATATTTTGTTAACATTAAAAATGGAAACATGATGTATTAGATGCAAATATGTAGATGTACAGAAAGGTAGCCCAGATGTCAAACAGATGACAAACTAATAAAGGTTGCGGTGGACAAGACAGTCATAGAAAGGCGCGCATATAATTATACCACTATGCCTAATTGTGGAATAAATAATAGGACATTGCAAGCAGCCATTCTACCTAACCCTTTGAGAGACACCGTAGAACCCACCGCACCACCCCTCTCAAACCCCACAGAAATATCCTCTCAGAGAGCAATACCAACTGAAAGGCCACTAAATTGTAATCAAATAGCTAATAAATCCATACTACCTATCACCGTAGATATAGACATGTCACCAAATAATCCCAGAAAAAAGTCGAAACCCCTCGAAAGTCGACACTGTCCTCTCTTAGCCATAACTCCATTGGTAAAAAAGGAAAATATGACCCCAAATCATGCCAACAACAACAATGGCAGTATAAATATGCCCACACTCCCCACGGTCAATAGTATTGGCACTCACAACGTGCGAAATAGCACCATGGCACACACCGATAACCAACGCCAAAACAATGCCACCCTCAAGAGTACAAGTGGCAATAGTCAGAACTCGACCACCAACAACTCAGGGCACTCACAGTATGGCACGCTAATAAATTTTGATCGGATATACGGTACAAGTCTGCTGGGAACTAACCCACAAAGCAGTACACACGAAACCCTTACAAGGACACCACTAGTACCTAACAATACGTGGAATAATAGACCATGGTCTTCACAAGGTCCCAATCATTTTTTATCCCCTGCGCCCCTGTCAGCGTTGAAAAAACAGCTGGTAGGGATGCTAACACTCCTAAACCGCTAGTGCTGGCTCCCCCTTTGCATGAATGTAGGAACAGTCTAGTGCACCTGCATCCATTAAGCACACTTGGTACATGCACAAGTTTAGGTCAAATAAGGATCCCTACCCCCGTTTCTAGCTTAACTAAAAATAAAAATGCCTTAGCCTATAGCACATCCAGTACTCCAACGCTCAATTCTTTACCAAAAACAGCACACACCAACTCGATAGACATAGGTGAACATGATGCTGAAACTCCTCTTAACATGGGGTCGTCATGTCAAACAGTAGTACTGGGTGCTGAGCCATATTCGGGGCTTATTAACGAGCTTAAATATTTCAAACGCTATTTCAAATCTCATCTTTACCTAATCCTCACAAATGCTAGATCTGTTCTAAATAAACTACCGATGCTCAGAGCACTCACAGTAATATACAGTTCCCCTATAATTGTCATAACTGAATCTTGGTGTAATTCAAACATACTGGATGAAGAGATAAGCTTAGATAATTACACACACTTTCAATGTGACGAGGAAGGTGGTGAGGGAGGGGGTTGTCTCATGTACTTTCTGACTGCACTCACAGCTAGAAACCGGACACTTAACATGCCTGAGACTCTATGAGTTAACTTACACTTAAATAATGCAATAGTATTAGTTGGGTGCACCTACAGAGCACCTGGCACGTTTAGTAATTACGAGACCCAACTTATTAATACTCTGGAACAATTATTCACCCTACACTACGATCATAAGATCCTATGTGGAGACTTTAACTTACCAGAAATCAACTGGGATATACCCACAGGCCCAACTAGATTTGATAAGTTCTTAGGCACACTGGATATACTTGGCTGGAGACAGACTGTCACAACCCCTACAAGAGGTAATAACGTACTAGACTTAATCTTCTGCGACAATATAAGCCCCCTTTCTACCCTAGTAGGTTCTGAGTTTTCAGACAGTGACCACAAAACAGTGCTGTTTGCACTGCCACTTCCAGCAAGTAGCAATGCAGCCGTTATCCCTACTTTACAAAAAATAACATACAGGAACTCCAGTAAGGCAGACTTGGCTTTAGTGAAATCAATGTTAAGATCCTTAGAATGGAGTGAGTACTTCTACACTGATAACCTTTCGAAAGCTCTAGACATCTTTTACTATAACTCCAACACATGCTTAGATGCTGTCATTCCATTTCAAACATTAAAGTTTTCCCAACATAGAAAGTCATTCATAAAGCCAAAGGATCGTAGGAAACTGAAAAGACTGTCAACAAGTTACTTCAGACGACATGGCTTTAGTACACTAGGGTCTATACTTCGTACTCTTAGCTCCATCTCGCAAGCTCATAACTTGCGTACGAGAAATGAAGAATGCACGGCACTAGCCAGCACCAACAGAGTAGGTGCTCTCACAGAAATACTAAAGAAACGAATGAATCGCCAAAGCAATAAAATTTCTCTCCTTATAAACAAGGGTGAACTATACAGCAAACATGCAGACATGTGTGAACTGTTTAATAAGACGTTTGCAGCTAACTACCTTAAGCATACAAGTCCACTTCTCGGTTTACAATCTACAATAGAACTCCCTTCTTCTTCAACGCTGAAACAAATCAATACAGTTCATTTCACTTACTCTAATATTAACCAAGCCATTAATACTCTTAAAGGCTCTAGTAGTGCTGGTATTGACGGTATACCATCGTATTTTTATAAACACGGTGGTTCTGACATTTCTTTTTTATTACTTAAGATCTTTACAATGTCCCTAGAGAGCCAAACCTATCCAGATAAATAGAAAACCACATTTATAATACCCAAACACAAATCCGGATCAAAAACTGAAGTCAACAACTATAGACCAATCAATATTACACCCATAGTATCTAGAATCATTGAAAGAATAGTTAAAGATGATATTCTCAAACATATGCTAAGCTGTAATATTCCAAGTCCAAACCAACATGGATTCCTAAAATCCAGATCATGCATGACATGTCACCTTGACTTCTTTAACTACATAACTAGCAGCCGTGACAAACAACAACTAGTACTTGTCATCTACTTCGACGTATCCAAAGCCTTTGGCCGCGTTGACCATTTGCTTCTAATAAATAAGCTAAACTCTTTAGGAATAAGTAACCCATTATTAGGATGGATTGAATCATTCCTTAACAATAGGTCCCAAGTAGTTAGACTGGGGTCTGTAAACTCTAAACCTAGTCCAGTCACTTCTGGAGTAGTTCAAGGTAGCGTCTTAGGCCCCCTCCTATTCACTCTATACGTCAACGACATATGCAGCTGTTTCTCACTTGGCAAACCATTCATCTTTGCAGATGATCTTATAGTAGATTACACGTTCCACTGTGATGACTGAGGATACTTTCAGACTTAGGATACTTTCAGATACTTTCAAAATGTGGTTGGATCTGTTTCGGTGCACCCTCAATAAATATCAAACTGGTACTTGAATCTATTGACTTGCCTAAACTCCATAGTGTTGTTGACCTAGGACTCAGGTACTCTAGTGACCTGACATTTTCTGAGCAAGTGGCGACACAGACGCGTAAATCGAGGATGCACTTAGGATGCACACTCAGGAATTTCCACAACTACGAAGCGAAACTTATATTATATAAAACATGTGTCAGACCACTACTTGAATATTGTCCATTTATTCTCAGCAGCACTCGCGTAAGTGACAGGCTTAAAATAGACTATTAGGATTTGACTGCGATAAGGACTACACATCAAGGTGTATAACTCTAGGTATCGACCCACTCTGGATGAGACGACCCAGCATTAATCTGACATTCTTCTTTAAAGCCCTTCATAAAATATCATTCTCAGACAGCAAGGAGATACAGTTCTCACCGAAAGTCTCCAACAATCTGCGTAACCAAACGTGCACAGTATCTAGGAAAAGCTGTAAGACAGCATTCCGTGCAAACTTCTTCATAGTCATGTACTCTAAGATCTGGAACAGTTTACCCCTAGAAATAAGGACCTGTCACTCTACTATAACCTTCAAACGCTTGCTATATAAACTGTTTCATCCCAATGACTATACCAACCAGACCGCGCCACTTAGTTCTAAAACGCATTTTATCAGAACACCATAACGCTTAGACT